ATTATTATATCGGAATTAAAACATAATTTATACCGATAAAATATCGGGATATTACACCAGGTGTAAAGGTAAAATAAATAAATTGGGCCTAACCTATTGAGAAGCCCAAGAAGAAAAGAAGCATAAGAGGACAATAATAGTGGCCCAAGAAAAACAGAAACGAAAGAAAGCAAAAACAAAAAAGAATCAGCTGCAGGATTTGATAAAAATAGGCAGCTACTAGTCTGCCAATAAAGAAAAAAGGGAAAGAAAGTTGTTTTAAAAGGGAAAAAAAAGAGTAGGGATGTGGCGGGTTCTTTTTAATAAACAACAAGATGTTTTAACCTGTCGTTGCAGGTTTTGAAGAAAAAAAAAAAAGAAGTTGTGTCGGTTTCTTGGAGGACAAAGCCGGCTAGTTTGGATTTTATGGGGATGATCTCCTCAGTAGAGGGATGTTGGTCGCTGTGGAAGTGGGCTGGTCACGGTCGCAGCTAGGGGACAAAAGGAGCATGCTAGTCGCTGCTGCGGAAAGAGAGAGACGGAAGTAGGCTGGGGAGTTACAAAAGGATAAAACTGCAAGTTTTGGATAGAAATAGAGAAAGCAAAAGAAACAAAAGAGCGGGGAGCTTCGAGATTTTCCATCATAAGTAGCAGCTTAACTCAACCGTTCTAGGATCGATTAGAGCTAGTCGTGGTCTGGACTCGTGGTAATTGAGTCCCATGAAGGTTTTTGGTAGTAGCCGACCATCGCACTTGGTGGTTGGTCCGACGACAGTGGAGGTCGAGAGGACCGATAGTTCTTGTCTAGGTCGCGAGAGGCGAAATTAGTAAGTCGCAAGCTCATTAGTATTTGGAGCCAACAAGTTATAAGTAAACATTAGCAGCAAAAGGAAGATAATGAAAGATAGTAGTAAGATAGACATTGAAAAGACAACAATATCCGATTATTTATGTATCGAGGTCGGGAAAGCCCAACGAAGAATCTCAGGCTTCAATTTTGTATGTAGAGAGGTTGGGAGAACCCGACGAGTTGTTTCAAGCTCTAGTGTTTTATGAGAGATATCTACCATGTGGTGACGCTTCAAGGAGGGAAAGTCACTTCGGGCTCAGTACCTTCGTGGGAAGTACTGCCCTAGAGGTGTCTGTCGGGTGACGGCCACCTCTCATGGTAGTAGACAATGAAGGGGACTTACCAGGATAGGTAGGCGTGCCCAGGAGCACATCTTCTGGATGCTGCATTAGGGGGATGTTAGCTTTTCGGACGATTGATGGTATCGTGAGGGGCCTTTTTTGAGCACTAAGTAGGTCACTCACTTTTCTTCCTTGTGGGTGAAGGACTTGTGGACTGACGGGGCCTGGAATAGAGATAGGTCCGAGAAAGTGTTGGGTACTGGAGCGAGTTTCAGTGACCAGATTTTAGATCAGATCCAACAGATTCCCATCTCGAATGACAGGTCGGACGGTATGAGGTGGATACTTACATCTTCAGGTA